GCGGCGGAGGGTGCTGGTCCAGGTGCTTCTGGTGCTCCGGGTGCTGGAGGTGCTGGCGGAGCTCCGCCGTCGCGCCTGTTCTTCGCTCCTCCGTCGCCGTCGGCTTTGCCGCCGCCTGACACGGTGCTTCGCCAGGTTCTTTCCCTCCCGTCTTCCACTGGCCTTCCCCTTCAGCCTGGCTCCCCCCTCCCTGCTCCTGTGCCTTACACTGCACAGCCGGACTCGCTTACGGAGCGTCGTGAGCCTGCGTCTCGTCCTGCCTCGCCTGTTCGCGCTGCTCGCGCTGCTCGCACTGCGCGCACTGGTCCCACTGGTCGTCGTGTCGCGCGTCCGCGTCCTCCTCCTGTTCCTGGCACGCATATTATGGCCCTTCGTCCTTCCACTGGTCCACAGCGTGTCCCCCTACCGTCTCCTCCTGCGTCTTCTCTTCCTGACGTTCCCGACCCTGAGTCTGACAGTGTTCGTGCTGCCCACCCTACTGTTACGCGTCTTCTCGCCACTGTTGTCACTGACCCGTCGTTTGAGTCTGCTGCTGCGTCTGCCCTGGTCGCTGAGCTTGTCGACTTTGCTGCTGCCTGTCGTCTAGACTACGCCGCCAGTCTTGTTGCCGGGTCTGAGTCTGTCTGTCCTCCGTCCGTCGGGGGTGAGTGTGCTCTTGGCACGGACGTCCTTGAGGACAGGCAGGAGGACTTTGACTCTCTTGCGGCTGCTGTACCTCATCTCGTGGCCTGGTTGCTTGCCCCTGAGGGAGACCCGGATGCACTAGACATCCCCACTCCGCGCTCTTACGCAGAGGCGATCTCGGGTCCCTACTCCTCTCAGTGGCAGACAGCCATGGACGCAGAGATGGCATCCTGGAAGTCCACAGGCACCTACGTCGACGAGGTTCCCCCTCCTGGGGCGAACATCGTCGATGGCATGTGGATTTTCAGGGTGAAGCGGCCGCCAGGTTCTCCACCTGTCTTCAAGGCTCGTTACGTTGCTAGAGGCTTCAGTCAGCGTCAGGGGGTTGACTTCTTCCAGACCTTCTCCCCCACCCCGAAGATGACCACTCTTCGGGTTCTGCTACACGTTGCTGCTCAGCGTGACTACGAGCTTCACTCTCTTGACTTCAGCACAGCGTTCCTGCAGGGCAGCCTGCACGAGGAGATCTGGCTGCGCCGCCCACCTGGCTTCACTGGGTCGTTTCCTCCTGGTACCCAGTGGAGCCTCCGCCGGCCAGTCTACGGTCTCCGCCAGGCGCCACGTGAGTGGCACGACACACTGAGGACTACACTTGCAGCTCTTGGGTTCGCGCCGTCTACTGCTGACCCGTCGCTGTTTCTACGCACAGACACGTCGCTACCGCCGTTCTACATTCTCGTGTACGTCGACGACTTGGTCTTTGCTACTGCTGACACTGAGGCACTCGCTCGTGTGAAGTCGGAGCTGCAGAAGAGACACACCTGCACTGACCTGGGTGAACTGCGTAGCTACCTTGGCTTGCAGATCACCCGGGACAGAGCTCGCCGCACCATCACCCTGACTCAGTCACACATGGTGCAGCAGGTCCTTCAGCGCTTCGGCTTCCAGTTCTCCTCACCACAGGCCACACCTCTGGCTACCAGCCACTCGCTCTCAGCTCCACCTTCAGACGAGTCCGTAGAGCCGAGTGGCCCGTACCCAGAGCTTGTAGGCTGCCTCATGTACCTGATGACTTGCACGCGACCTGACCTCGCGTACCCACTTAGCATCCTTGCTCGTTACGTTGCGCCTGGAAGACACAGGCGAGAGCACTGGGAGGCTGCTAAGAGGGTGCTGCGTTACTTGTGCAGTACATCAGGCATGGGGCTGGTGCTTGGAGGACGCGACAGAGTTGTCCTCACTGGTCACTCGGACGCTTCTTGGGTGGACGACCTGGCTACGCAGCGGTCGTCACAGGGTTACACCTTCAGCCTTGGCTCTGGTTCTGTCTCGTGGCGGTCCACCCGCTCTTCTTCTGTTCTCGGCTCTAGTTGTGAGGCTGAGATCTACGTCACAGCCATGGCTGCACAGGAGTTACGCTGGCTCACCTACCTGCTGACTGACTTGGGAGAGCGGCCTAGTTCTCCTCCAGTTCTGTACGGTGACAACAAGGCGGCCCTTGCCTTGTATCAGGAGCACAGACTGGAGCACAGGACGAAGCACATTGCTCTTCGCTACTTTCTTGCTCGAGAGCTTCAGCAGCGCGGTCAGCTTCGGCTTGTGTACGTGGACTCGAAGGCCAATACTGCTGATATCTTCACCAAGGCGCTCCCGCCTAGTGATCATCAGCGGCACTGTACTTCTTTAGGCCTTGTGTCCACGTTTCCTCATTTGCTTACTGCTTGACTTTCTTTGTACTGTACTTTATATATATCTTGCTGCTTGTCCTGTTCTATATCTAGCACTGCATGTGAACTGGCCTTGTGGCCTTTGCTTGTGCTCGGAGTGTGGTGACTTTGTGATCCACCCTGGGCTTGCGTTGCTTTGCTGGACTGGTCTTGTGACCCTTTGTTCTCCCCCACTTTGCCTATGGGGGTGTGTTAAACTGTATTATGTTGGTAGGCTGTAGTGGGGTAGCCAATATAGGGTACAACCCCAACTAGGGTTTGCTACTTGTACCCAATTCTTCCATTCAATGCACCATTCTTGCCTAGTTCTTTTGACAGGATGAATGCACACACACATACATACGCACACGTAAAGACACATACACACAGACGCGCACATATGCACGCGCAAAAACTGAGACAAGTCATTAAAAAAGGCAAAAGAAACCTACCAAAGCAATACAGTACCATCAATCATACAAGTCAACACTGATATACTTCTAGTTTCTATATTGGTCTTGACTTCCCAATGGTACAGCAAAGCCTCTGGAGGGTAGGATATAATAAAAAGGGGGAGCGAGAGGGAGGCGGGGAAAGGAAGGGGCAGAAGAAGGGAGAAAGCAGAGAAATTGAATGACATCATAACCAAACAGAAACAACATACACGGATTGACCAAGTGAAAGAAATGGCAAACCAAACAGGAAAAAAACGGAGAATAAAAAGTATTCTATGATAACGAGAAAAAAAAACGAGCACGAAGAAGAATAGAAGAAACAAGGGAGAGAAGAAAGCATGCGATAAACATGAGGTGAAGAATGACAAGGACTGAAACAAGGAGAGAATATAATAGAAAGGAAGAAGGAATGCAAGAGAAAACGGCGGAGGGAGGAGCGAGAGAGAGAACGAAAAAGGTGATGTTGAAGAATAAAAAAGAAATGAAAGTGCATGTACAGAAAAGGGCTTACAAAAGGGGAAAGAATGAAGAACATAAAATCAAGTCTATAAAAAATGGAAGGAATTGAGGATTGAGTTAAGAGATCTATATTCGAAAGGATACGAAGAAAAAGACCTTAATTACTAAGTTCTAATTTGACCTAGATTTAAACAAAACAGCAACTTCGTTTTTCGTTCTCTTGCACGCTCTCTCCCTATACCCGTGCCATATCCTCTGCCGCTGCTCTTACGTACTCTCCCTCTCTTTCGCTCTCTTTCTTCCAACATGTTCTCACCGTTAAAAAGACAAGGAATTGAGACAACAACGTGCTTGAGCATTTCCTGCAGTTAGGTGGAGGATCACAGAAACAAAAAAACAGGATATTAACGGATGCAGTAGATCAAATTCAATCATCTTCGGCTTCAAAATGACCTAGGTAGTAGATCAATGGATTGTATCATTTATAGTTGCTAGCATCTACATCGCATTGGGCTGCAACCCTTCAAAACGACATAGCAGAAAGGGTTGCAGCCTTGAAATCCGACTCACTATTTGAATGAAAACGACACACTGCAAGGTCGAAATAAGCTTGAAAACGGCAAAGTGAATAAACAAGAATGGAATCAGGCTTATCAACGACCTAGAGACTATTACGACGTTAACTGAAAGCCTAGAACCTATCTTTAACAACATGCATAGCTTAAAAACGGCGAACACGTTAGTAAAAAAGTAGAATACGACATTACGACCATAGAAACAAGCAAAAGGGTACAAATGACTAGTATATAATATTGACCTCAAATTCACACATGGAGTAGATCAGTTTCAAGATCGATGGATTGTATATTTGGTCGTTACTAGGATCTACGTCAAATAGGGCTGCAACCCTTCAAAACGACGTAGCAAAAAGGGCTGCAGCCATTGAAAACTGACTTAATATTCGAATGAAAACGAGAAAATGCAAGGTCGAGAGCTTAAAAGCGGCGTGAATGAAACAACGGGAATGAATGCAGGCCTATCGACTACCTAGAGACTATTACGACATAAACTGAAAATTGAGAACCTATCTTAAACAACTTGCACAACTTTAAAACGGCGAACACAATACGCAAAGAGTAGGATACGACACTAAGGGAAATATAGTTGGACCATTAACTACCGGTAATAGTTGAGATATTAGTTCTGACCTTGAAGAGTTAGGTGGAGCGGGAGTGGGAGTAGCTTGCGGGAACAGATCTGGATGAGTTAGACGAGGGAGAGAAAGGAAAAACAAACCCTAGAGAGGTGAGTGATTTCATCGGGTTAAAACACAACAGTAACTTAAAACAACTTCGCAAGACTGTAGCACGTTGCGTAGTGGTTTGAGAACGAGCGTGAGATCGGAAGGTGTCCGTTTCGATTCTTGCACGGGACGTTTTACAAATATGCATTTGAATGAGCAGCAATAAGTGTTACATGATTCTAAGTTTTATATAACGATACCACCCAAATGTACTTAAGTAAAGATGCTCCGCAACCCTAAGACGATTTCGTCACCTCTTGTTTTTTTTTTTTTTTTTTTACATTTCATACAAGGAAGAATACAGAGAACAAGGCAATATTCATCCTTAGTACCATACTGACCCACGTTTCACTCTAACATTCCGGTACCGTACAGGCGTGCACTATCAAAGGAAACCAGGAAATTAGGGTATGTAACAAAATTGGAGATACAATCAACCCCACATGAGCGTGATCACTCGTCGTCGTCCTCATCATCGCACAGATCAATTATCTCCTCATCATCTATAGCCACCACTGGCGGCTCATCTCCACTCAACTGTTGCTGCCCCCCCGTTACATCTTGCAAACTTTCCCCTTGTAACACCTGCTGCTGCTCCAATGAATGCTGCTGCTGCTTTTGGAACCTCCCATCCAGAGGAACCTGTGCTTGAGCCGCCTCTTGGCCTGCACCAGCCAAACCTTTCTCACCGGAGCAGCTCTGGTCAACATTCTCCTCTGTAGCCCACTTCCCATCAGCACTCTTCTTCCCACCACCGTGTCCCACAACAGTTTGATTTTCATCAGGCCCTGAAGCAGAACCCCCTTTGCTGCCTGCCACGTGTTTTCCTCCAGTGTGCACGTGAGGGGCACCAGTCCCTTGCACACCCACAGTGCCCTGCTCTGCCACTGAAGGCATTCCAGGCGGTATCTCAGGTGACTTCAACGGCTGCACAGGAGCTGATCTTTTCAAAGATGATCTTGTCAAACGTGCTTCAGTGGGAGGTGGCTTTGGTGAACACGTTTTTGCCGGAGGTGATTTTGCCGAAGCTGATTTTGCCGGAGGTGATTTTGCCGAAGCTGGTTTTGCCGGCGGTGATTTTGCCAAAGCTGCTTTTGCCGAAGCTGGTTTTGCCAGAGGTGATTTTGCAGAAGCTGACTTTTCCAAAGCTGGTTTTGCGGGCACTCGAGGAGACTCCCCTCTCTCTGCTCTCTCGGGTGACACTGGCACTTCTACCACCATCTCATCACTTTTTGGGGACTCTTCATCCTCATGCCTCAGAGGTACTGCAGGCTCTTCAGCAACAGACTCCCCTCTCTCTGCTCTCTCTGGTGACACAGGCACTTCTACCACCATCTCATCACTTCCTGGGGACTCCTCACCCTCCTGCCTCTGCTTTGCATCCCCTCCTCCTCTGTACTCCGCCTTACTCTTTGTTTCCATCAGCTGCTCTGCATCAGCCCCCTCTCCTCGCCCCTTCTCTCTTGGGAGCCTTCTCTCTTGCGCCTCTTCAAGCGCTTCTTTTTCTTTAGGAGCGCAATCTTGTTTGCTCCCCAAAGCGCTGCCTCCTCCACCCACATCACCGCCCAACTGGCCCTGCGTGCTCCGATCCTTCTGACCCTGCTTGGCTGGCTCGTTCTGGCCCTGCCTGACTCGCTCCGCAGAACCACCGTCACCAGCAACAGAACCAGAAGGAGCAGCAGGAGGAGTGGGAGAACCAGAAGGAGCAGCAGGAGGAGTGGGAGAACCAGAAGGAGCAGCAGGAGTGGGAGAACCAGAAGGAGAAGCAGGAGCAGCAGTGCTGGCAACAGATTTGGATTCTTCTCTGCAATTTATTGCTGCGACAGCCGCCTCGCCTGCCTCAGACTCCCCGGCTGGACCAGATGTGCCTGGCCTCTCACACTCTGCTGCTCCAGAAGGTCCTGCTTTGAGCTTAGCAGAAGCAGCAGCCATAGCATCACTCACATCTGCTGTCTCACTCCGTGCTGCTGCTACAGTTGCTGCTACAGCTGGTTCATGCGAGCACGTGACAGATGCATTCTCGTTCCCTTTCGTCGCTACAGCCTCATCTGCAGTATTTGCAGGAACGCTCTCGCTCTCCCCTCCTGCTACAACCGCAACCTCTGAATCAGCACATGCATTCTCCCCAGCCACTACAGCGTCAATCTTGGGATCAGCAGATGGATTCGCCTCTGCTGCGACAGCATCAGCCTCGGAATCAGCAGATGCATCCCCCCTCACCGCTGCTGCTGCCTCAGCCTCGGCATTAAGGCGACGGATAAGAGCTACATACGGGTCACAATCCGCCTCCTCTTGCGGCTCCTTGGATGTAGATTCAGATCGGTTCTGAGGTGTTGCTAATCCAGCTTGGGGCTGGTTCTGAGGGGGCTTGGTGGAGGAGGCAGTTTGCAGGCGACTGGCAATGGCAGCAGTGGCGGCAGCAGCTGGAGTGGCGGCAGCAGCTGGAGCTGCTGAGGCATGAGTGGCGGGTGTGCCGATCACATATGGCTCTCTCCATGGCACACCGCCCTTGGGATCCTGCTGCTGCTGCTGCGGCTGCGGCTGCTCTTTTTTTTGCTGCTGTGGTTGAGTCTCCTGTTGCTGTTGTAGGCCCTGCTGCAGGCTCTGCTGCAACTGCCTCGCGATGTCCTGCTGCTCCTTCTGCCGCAACCGCTGCTGCTGCAGCTGCTGCCGCATCCCCACCCCCACCTGGTGGTGGTGGTGGTGGTGGTGGTGCTGCTGCTGCTGCTGCTGCTGGCGGCTCTTCAGTTCAGCTGCCACCACGCCGATTGCCGTCTGGATAGTGTCTGCAGTCGCACCTGCCCCAGTGCTACCTGCACCAGTAGAACCTCCTGCTGCTGCTGCTGCTGCTTCTGCTGCTGCAGTGCGGTTCAGCTGGGACAGCCTTGCAGACTCACGCAGACAAGCGAACGAGGCGGGAAGGGAGGAGGAGTGAGAAGAAAAGGCATTATCCTTTTGTTCAGTGCGGCTGGTGAGACCCGAAAGATGCTGCTGCTGCTGTTGCTGTTGCTGCTGCTGCTCCTGCTCCTGCTGCTGGTAGGACGTACGTAACTGTTGCTCTAGCTGTTGCTGATGCTCTTGCTGTTGCTGCAAGCGCTGTTGTTGCCGTAGCTGCTGCTTCTGCTGCTCCTGCTGCTGCTGCTGCTGCTGCTGCTGTTGGTACAAGGCTCGTAATTGTTGCTCCAGCTGTTGCTGTTGCTGCTGCTCTTGCTGTTGTTGCCTCAGCTGCCTCTGCTGCTGCTCCTGCTGCTGCTGTTGCAACTGGTACAAGGCACGTAGCTGTTGCTCTAACTGTTGCTGCTGCTGTTGCTGCTGTTGCTGCTGCTGCTGCTGCTGCACCTGCTGCTGATGATACAAGGCACGCAACTGCTGCTCTAGCTGCTGCTGCTGCTCCAGCCGTTGCAATCGCTCCTGCTGCCGCAGCTGCTGCTGCAGCTGCATTTGCTGCTGCCGCTGCTGCTGCTGCTGCTGCCGCCGCTGCTCCTCTTGCTGCTGCTGCAACTGTCCCTGCGCCTGGGGATGAACAGGATCCTGAAACAGCTTCTGATACAGCTGCTCTATCTGCTGCTGTCGAGTCAGCCTTTCCCGCCCACCTTCCCTCCCTTGCTGCACCTGCTGCTGCAGTGTAGGATTGCTGCCTACTCTGTCCCCGCTGGCCCCCCTGCCTCCACTGCCTGCGACGTGTGCCATAGGAGGTGGGTGACCTGGCTGTGCGGCTGCGGCATGGTGCGCTTGACTCTCGTGGTTCACTTGCATAGATGCACGTGGTGCATCGGTTGCATGTGGTGCATGGGTTGCATGGGTTGCATGGGGCGCATGTGGTGCTTGTGCCCAATGTGGCACACGTGCTGCTTGACCTGCATGTGCTGTTTGACCTGCACGTGCTGTTTGACCTGCATGTGCTGTTTGACCTGCACGTGCTGTTTGACCTGCATGTGCTGTTTGACCTGCACGTGCTGTTTGACCTGCATGTGCTGTTTGACCTGCATGTGCCATGTGCGATGCTGGCAAATTAGCAGCAGCAGCCACACCACCGGGTACACGAGTAGCAGCAGCAGAAGCAGAAGCAGCAGCAGCAGCAGCAGCACCAGCTCCAGCAGAAACGGCAGCATGGGCGGTGGTGGCTGCTCTAGCAGTGCCGCTGGCAGTGGTAGCAGCAGTGGTAGCAGCAGTGGCAGCGGCACTGGTAGCAGCAGTCGTAGCAGCAGTGGCAGCGGCACTGGTAGCAGCGGTGGTAGCAGCAGTGGCAGCGGCACTGGTAGCAGCGGTGGTCTTGTGGTGGTATTCAAGGTTGAGCGCGCGGCACAGCAGCTCCACACGGCGCTTGCAGAACTCCACCACGCGCTTCTGAGCCGCGTTCCATGCCAGGTGCTCCTCCCGTGTCCACGGTCGCAACCGCTTGCCCGCTGGTATGCCTCCGCCTCTTGCTGCTGGTGGTAGTTGTGCTGGTGGTGCTGCTGCTGTTGCTGTTGGTGCTGGTTGTGCTGCTGTTGCTGGTGGTGCTGCTAATGCCGTTGGTGCTGGTGGTGCTGCTGTTGCTGTTGCTGCTGGTGCCGCTGCTAATGCTGATGCTGCTGCTGACGACGCTCCCTGCACCCTCTCTGCTCCCTGCACCCTCTCTGCTCCTGCTTCCGCTGCTCCCCCATCCGCTGCTTCCTTCTTTGCTTCCTCCTTCCCTCCTTCCATCACATCTCCCTTCACATCCCCCTTCACATCCCCCTTCACATCCTCCTTCACATCCCCCTTCACATCCCCATTCACTTCCTCCTTTGTCTCCACCTTTGCTTCCTCCTTTTCCTCCTCCTCCTTTTCCTTCTCACTTGCTCCCTCCTTCGTTTCCTCCTTCACTTCTTCCTCCAATTCCGCTTTCACCCCCTCTTTTCCTTCTTCCTTCATAGTCACACTTTTTTCAGCACTAACAAGACCACCAGCACCAGCAGCAGCACCTGTTTCAGCTTTCACACCTGCTATCATGCGATCACCCTCATCACTTTCTTGCGCTGCTGCCGCCTTCCCCTCTGCCCTCCCCTCCTCCCTAGAGCCTGCCATGTCACCCGTTGCAACCTCCCCATCACCACCCACTCCCCCAGGGCTGGCTGTCACAGCATCAGGTTTGGAGGGTGCATCAGTAGGACCGGTGGTCGAAGCAACAGGACTGGTGGTCACAGCATCAGGTTTGGTGGGCGCAACACCAGGTTTGGTGGGCGCAACACCAGGTTTGGTGGGCTGGGCAGGCGAGGTGGTAACTGGGCAAGGTGGAACTGCTGGGATGTCCTCGAGGGTAAGGCCAATCATGTTGCGGGGCGGGGCGGGCGGCAGCGACAGCTCAGCGCGTGCCACGTCAGCAAGGCCCAGCTGGTCGTCGTTGATGATGTCACTCCACCGCCCGTACCCGTGCCTGGGTGGAATGTAATATGTATGGGTGAGGAGAGGTGAGTGGGAGTGGTGATAGGTTCAAGGTAAGATGGAAGCAATGGTTGTGAATGGAAGCCAGTCTTTGTTGATGATGTCACTCTACCGCCCGTAGCCGTGCCTGCGCGGAATTAGAGTGGAAGAGAGGCGGCAAGGGATAGTTCAAGAGTAAGGCATGAGGGAGCTAAGCAATGCAACGACTTAGCAAGCACGCACGCGTGTACTGGCATCTGCTACAGCAGCAGGGAGTAACCCGATCCTCCAATGCAGCATAGCATGCATGCACACACACACACACACCACACAGCACATCACATCAAATGCTACACCACGTGCCACACTGCATCAAATTCAACAATACAGCAGCAGACCACGCCGCCGCTCACTTGGTGATTTCCTTGAGCAGCTGACTTGCTGATTCCTTTCAGCAAGTGATTCCAAACCAAACCACGCCACCACTGACTTGCTGATTCACTTGACAGCTTACTTCGTAATGCCTTTCAGCAGCAGCAGGTCATGCTCGGCCCGCCAGTGTCGCGTGCGGAACAGCGGCGCCAGCTGGCTGTGGCCCCTCAGGTGCTCTGGCAGCCCTGGCAGCAACTCCTCCCAACCCAGCTCCACCGCTTCCTCCTCCTCTTCCACCCCTTCCTCCTGCTCACTCTCCTTCTTTTGACCCTCCTTCGTTTGACCCTCCATTTCACCCTCCTTTTCACCCTCCTCCTTCCCACCCTCCGTTTCAACCTCCACCTCGCCCTCTCTCCTTCCTCCCTTTTCGCCCTCTCCCTCTCCCCTCCCTTCCTCTCCCTTCCCTCCCTCTCCCTTCCCTCCCTCTCCCTTACCTCCTCCCTTCGTATCCAGCTCAGATTTTCCCTCCTCCGGCTTCTCAGCCCTCTCCCCATCTCCCTCCACGCCCTCCATCCCCGAAGGCCCATCCCCCTTCCCTTCCCCCACCACCCCTCCATGCTCCCCCTCTCCCTTCTCACCCCCCTCCGCACCAGCCAGAGTCACGCCCTCCATCCTTGAAGGCCCATCCGTTTTCCCTTCTCCTTCCTTTCTGTCAACCTCTCCATTTCCAGAAGGTGCTGCTGCTGCCTCTCCTGCTGTTGCCTCTCCTGCTGTTGCCTCTCCTGCTGTTGCCTCTCCTGCTGTTGCCTCTCCTGCTGCTGCCTCTGCGCCCCTACGCTCTCCACCACTCGCTTCTCCACCCCTCCCTTCCACACCCCTTCCCTCTACACTCCCACCCTTGGCAAGCCTCCTCGCCCTCGCCCTCTCCCGCAGCCTCTCTCTGGTCTTCTCGGCAGCAGCCACCTTGGTGCGAATGAGGTGCAGCAGGGCCAGGCGAATAAGCACCTCCTGAGCATTCACGCCCTCCTTGGGCACTCCGTCTGGTGGAAGGGGGTGTGTGAGGAAGGAGGGTACAGGTGACGAGATGGAAAGGGAGAGGAACGAGAAGAAACGAGAAGGCCAGGCGGATGAGCACCTCCTGGGGAGTCACACCCTCCTTGGAACTCCATCTGGTGGAGAAGGAAGGACAAAGGAGGTGGGGAGGGAGGAGAAGGGGAGGAATAGAGAGGGATGGGGGAAGGGAGAAGGGAATCGTTGTACACCCAGCGTCTGGTGGACTGACAGCTGCGCACCATGCATGCGCGAAGAAAGCAGTACGTGGAACAACTCATGCAGCTTTAGTGTCCTGAATCACTACCAACATCTGGGGGCTTTCACACGTTATTTCAAGTGACATGATGTCTTCAGAGATGTCTGAGAGGATGACTTATGATGATTGAAATTATGGTTTCGACAATTTTTGCTTCCTGTTGCATGCTTACAGGCCGCTGAGGCTTGAGGCTCGTCAGAAGGCAGAAGAGCATCAGCCGCTAGCAGCACACAACTGGAAGAAGACATTGTGCTTGCTGGCGGCTGATGCTCTTCTGCCTTCCAACGAGTCTCAGCAGCCTATAAGTACGCAACAGGAAGCAGACATTGTTTAAACCATAATGTCACTCATCGGGTTTCATCCTCCCAATCATCACCCAAGTCAACATGTCCCGTCAAATAACGACTGAAAGCTCTTAGATGCTGCTAGCTGATTCAGAATGCTACAGCAGCATGTGTTATCCATGTTCCACTTTCGTCATGCCTGCATAGCGTGCAACCTCGTAGTCGACATGTTCAAGTCGAATGGCATCACCTCTCTGACGCGTGCGTGGCTGGTGATCACTGAGCAGATATTGGGCAATAGGGAGCACGAGAGGAGAGACACGCTGAAGCATAGCAGTGTAAGGAGTAGGGGGGGGATGATGAAAAGGCAGGCAAGGAAGGACAAGGCAGGGCACCTGAGAATGTGTCTTTGCTGGTTGGGTCTTCCTGGATGTGCTTCAGATAAAGGGCACCGTAGCTGATGGAAGGGGAGACGGATGATCAGAAGAAGCATGATATGAAATAACAGCTGTATGGGAGAACATAGAACAGAAAACAGATGAATGCTGCAATTTCCAGCAATAGAGGAAATTTATTAAGTCTGCAAGATGCCAGGCATGAACCCTTTTCTGGGGAAGCAAAACAAGTTGCCTTCTGAGTCAACTCAAAGCTCTCCTATGAAACTCAGACTCACTCTTTAATCTCCTGCAGGGTACGCGGCTTGAGTCGAGGCACAAACTCCTTCCAGCTAAAATCACCGATCCCGAACCTGCAGCAAGAGGTTTGGAGGGAAAGCATGGCATGTGAACCCCAGCACCTTATCCCTGCCATTCATGTCCCGTTCATCACATGACCGCATAAGCCGGAGACAGGCGAACACAATGCGTGTAAACCCCACCACCTTATCCCTACCATACCATCCCAGCACCTTATTCATACAGAACAAGCTGGTGACACATGAACCCAATGCATGTGACCCCAAGCACCGCTTCTCCCCAGAGAGACCTGTTCTTCCCCAACATGCAACCTTTCCCTTCTCACCTTGGATGTGAATCCCAACACCTTGGTGTACGGCCATGCGCCCTCTATTACATCACAAGCAGGTGGACAGGCGAGCCACTTTTGAGAATTCTTAAAAGTGATGCCATGCGCCCTCCATTACATCACAAGCAGGTGGACAGGCGAGCCTCGATCAAGCATGTAAACGGTGAACCCCACCCCACTCACCGCATGATGAGCTGTTGAAAGGTCATGCGCTGCTTGGATGTGAATCCCAGCACCTTGGCGTACGGCCATGCCCCCTCCATTAATGGCCACACTTTCTTTTTCACATCCCCCGCACCCCCCCCTCCCCCTCCCGCCCCTCCTGCAGCAGCAGCACCGGCTGGACCAGCAGGAGAGGTAGAGGGAGCCGCTTTTCCGTACCTAATCTTCCTCTTCCTCCCTCTCCCCGTACTCTCCTCCTCAAGCTCCACATCACTCTCCCCATCCTCCCCATCATCCTCCTCCCCATCCTCATCATAAGCCTCATCCCCCTCCCCGTCCCCTCTCTCCCCCTTCCCCCCTCTCTCCCCCTTCCGTCCCCCCACCTTCTCCCCCTCCTCCTCCCCATCAACCGTGTAATCCACCTGTCGTCTCGCTCTCCTCCCCTTACCCAGCTCCAGAAACGTCTCTATCTGCTCTGCCTCGTATCGGTCTTTCAGCAGTGACTCCCAGTACGCGGCTCTCCCAGCAGCGTCAAGGCGTTTCCCTTCCTCTGCTAGCTCCTGTTCTCGCTGCCTTTCTCGCTCCAGCTCTCTCTCCTTCTCTGCGTCGGCTTCTGCCTGATCAGCTTCTGATACGAAACTGAAATTAGCAACCTGCGGTGGCAAGAAACGGTTGGCGATAGGGGGGCACGTGGTAAGTTTGTTTCATAAACTTGCTCTCCTTCTCTGCGTCGGCCTCGGCTTGGTCTGCTTCCGACATGAAGCTGAAATTGGCAACCTGCAGTGATAGGTGGCAGGGAACGGATGGCAATAGGAGGGAAAGAGATCAATTTGTCTCATGGCTGCAACCCAAACCAGCTGAGATTCTAAAATCGATTCAAAACCCAACTGGACATGACATAGCAACGAGGCATCGTTGTTTTTCCAGTGCCTAAGTTTTTGAAATATCAACACTTGCGGCGTTAAGTTGAAGTGACACCTTCTTGGGACATTTTCTTGGGAATTCGCACCTTGAATTGTTGTCAGGCTCATAACTCTTGCTCAAGCGCCTTGAAGTCCTTGGAATATCCACAGCTGAGGAGGCTCAGTTCAAGAAGTCCTCAAGATATCAACACTTGAGGCAATGGGTTCAAATACTAAAGCAAGTTTCTCCTTGCTTACCTTCTTGGGCTTACCTTGAAGGCCTTGAGGTAGTCGTTATCGGGCTCATCCTCCGCCTGCTCCTCTCCCACTGTGCTGCGATCCAACAACCTGGGAGCGGACCGGGATGGGGAGGATGGGAGGTGGTGAGAGAGGAAGAAGGGGAGTTGGTAGGCAAGGCACTGTCAGGCTCATTTTCCGCTTGCTCCTCTCCCACTGTGCTGCGATCCTACAGCCTGCAGCCACGCCAAGGGGACGGGGGAGGAGAGAAGGTGAGCGGAAGGAGGAAAAGAGTCTTGAAGCGCATCAATAGCCACCTGGTCCTCGCCTAATGCACTGCGATCCAAGTGCCTCAGAGAAAGCAAAGTGCATTCAGTGTGGTGGAGAGGCATACTACTGGGCAGGGGCATTCTGTGACGCTTCTCATTTTCACCAATGAACATACCTGTCGATAGCGGCATCATCGTAGTAGATCCGACGGCTCTCCTTCTTCTGCTTCTTCGTTTCCTTGGCTTTCTCATCCCCGCCTGCTCCTTTCTCAGTGTCCTTGTCAGTATCCTTGTCAGCATCCTTGTCAGCATCCTTGTCAGCATCCTTACTGCCTTCTCCAGCCTTGCCTCCCGCCACCTCCCCACCACCTCCTCCTTGCCCTCTTTCCCCTCTTCCCCTCCCTCCCCTCCTTTCACCTCCTCCTCCTCCTCATCCTCTTCAAACAACTCCTTCGCTCCGAATCGCAGAATGTCGTCCAGCTCCTCCTGTACAGTCACATGCACAACAGTCACACACAGCAGCAGGCACGAAATTTTTAGACGTCTCAAGAATCATCACCTCCTGTTCCTCCTCATCCTCTTCAAACAGCTCCTTCGCTCCGAATCGCAGAATGATGTCCAACTCCTCCTGTACAGCCACACACAGCAACAGGTGCACACAGCAGCAGTCACGCATTTTGAGATGTCTCAAGAATCACCTCCTCCTCCTCATCCCCCTCTACAAACAACTCCTTTGCTCCGAATCGTAGAATATAGTCCAAATCCTCCTGTATAGGCGCATACTGCAACAGTCACACACAACAATCACACGCAACAGGTGCAAACAGTTTCAAACAAGAACAAGTCCATTTGATTTGACATACATATTTTCCTATAGAACCTGTATGTATCAATCAAATACTTCCATAACACTTCACAGAAGTTTAGTGTTTGTTGTAAAGCACACACTCTCTGATCATTGTCGGTCTCACTATGGCTTCACAACAAACAGCCCACCCACCTACTGAAGTTGATTGGTTGGTTGATTTGAGGCATGTTGCTCACCTGGTTAAGGTTGGACTGCTTAAGCTTGCCCACCACCACGTGTTCCAGCACCGCCTTCTTCTTCTTGCTCATCCGCACCCGCCCACCTCGTTGGGATGTGACAGTCACCTGCCTGGTTGCTTGGTTGAGTTGATCCAAGTTGCTCACCTGATTTAGGTTGGATTGTTTCAGCTTCCCCACCACCACGTGCTCCAGTACCATCTTCTTCTTGCTCATCTGCACCATGCGCTCCTCCACTGTCGCCCGTGTGACCAGCCGGTATATCATCACCTGCCATACAGCCACACATGGCGGTGCATTGCACACACAAAGAGATACAGACACGCAGACGTAACAGAGGGGCATAGTTTGAGTGTGTTTCCTTCTTGCATGCACACACACACACACACTCACACACACACACACACACAAACACACAAAGTGCCACGGACACACAAACAGAGTGGCAGGGATGTGATGTGAATGTAAGCGCCACAGGCACGTGCATGAATGAGAATGCATTTATTGAAATCACTTTTGAGAATTCTCAAAAGTGATTTCGACACAGACACGTGCATGAGCGAGAATGTATTTGCACGCTTACACACTCCAGGGAGTGCCCTCACGTGGAGTGCCCTCACGTGGAGTGCCCTCACGTGGAGTGCCCTCACGTGGAGTGCCCTCACGTGGAGTGCCCTCAAGTGGAGTGCAGTGCAGCACAAACACTCTTCACACACACATACACATACACGCACCGCCTATCCCCCCACACACATACACGCACCGCCTATCCACCCACACACATACACGCACCCCTATCCCCCCACACACATACACGCACCGCCTATCCCCCCACACACATACACGCACCGCCTATCCCCCCACACACATACACGCACCGCCTATCCCCCCACACACATACACGCACCGCCTATCCCCCCACACACATACACGCACCGCCTATCCCCCCACACACATACACGCACCGCCTATCCCCCCACACACATCCTCCATACCGTTTGGGTCTGCCCCAGCCTGTGCGCTCGAGCCATGGCCTGCAGGTCCGCATGCGGGTTCCAGTCACTGCCATGGGGGCGAGGAGAACACGGGTGAGTGAGAATGAGTGGAAGAAGGGAGGAGAGGAGAGTGCTGTCACTCGGACGAGAGAGAAAGAGTGGCATTAAAGGTGTACTCAGCGAGCCGTTGCCAGCAGGTCGCAATACCTGTTCTATAAAGTCACATCCGCTGTTCCGTACCTGTCGTATATAATCACAGTGTCAGCCGTGGCAAGGTTGATCCCCAGCCCTCCAGCGCGAGTGGAGAGCAGGAAGACAAAGCGTGTGGATCCAGGAGCATTGAACCGGTCAATGCGCTGCTGCCGGTCTGATCCGCTGATGCTGCCGTCTATGCGCTCACACCCCCAGCCCTGTGACGATGGTTGGTTTCGTTACAGTACAACATGGGGAGGGGGGAAGACAAAGAGCGGGCGTTTAGCAGAGGTTAGTAGTGTTCCATTTCACGCGCCGCTGCCGGTCCGACCCGCTGATGCTGCCGTGACGTCTATGCGCTTGCATCCCCAGCCCTGTGGGATGGAGCGCCTGGTTGGGGACGGAGAGACTGGTTAGTAGGAGGGGAAAGGAGGTGCTGATCTGAGCGCTGATGCTGCCGTCTATTCCATCGATCTCACACAACTTTAAAGCCAGTGACCCACCTTGCCCATGAGCCACCCACCTTGCCCATGAGCCACCCACCTTGCCCATGAGCCACCCACCTTGCCCATGAGCCACCCACCTTGCCCATGAGCCATCCACCTTGCCCATGAGCCATTCCTGCAGCAGGTCCAGCATGCGCTTGAACTGAGAGTACACCAGCACCACTCAGTCAACTCACAGACACCTTTCGTTCGATTTCGCTCAGCTCCAAAGCCACTGATCGACCTTGCACACCACCACCCAGTACCTCACCTTGCCCATGAGCCATTCCTGCAGCAGGTCCAGCATGCGCTTGAACTGAGAGTACACCAGCACGCGGTGGCCCCCCGCCTTCAGCCGCTCCAGCATGCGCTCTAGTAAAGCCAGCTTGTCCGATGCTGCCACCATGCGCCTGTGGGGGCAGTACAGTGCATGCACCACAAGTTGGGAGAGTGGGTGAGTGGGTGGGAGAGGGAGGATACTGGTACTGTCTTCTCTCCCTTGAGCCGCTCCAGCATGCGCTCTAGTAAGGCCAGCTTATCAGACGCTGCCACCATGCATCTGGGAAGGGGACACATACAATCCCCTCCCAAGCTTCCCCATGCCATGGCTCCCCACCTTTACCAGCTGGCTTCTGCCGGCGTGTCTCCCCCTCTGTGCTGCTCCTCCGCGCCCTTTAACCCCTCCGCGCCCTTTAACCCCTCCGCGCCCTTTAACCCCTCCGCGCCCTTCAACCCCTCCGCGCCCTTTAACCCCTCCGCGCCCTTTAATCCCTCCGCGCCCTTTAACCCCTCCGCGCCCTTTAACCCCTCCGCGCCCTTTAACCCCTCCGGCGTGTAGCCCATCAAAATTCTCCTGCCAGTCACTTCCCGACCTTCCCCAAGCTCTTATGTGATGTGACCCCTACCTACCCTAACCCTTACCGGCTGGCTCCTGCGGGCGTGTCTCTGCCTCCGTGCTGCTCCTCCACGTCCCCCACTCCACCACCCACCCACCACAACCAAACAACCCCTGCCAGCCCCATCCCATGCTTCCCCACCCCGTGTTCCCCCACGCCTCACCGACTGGCTTCTGCGGGCGTGCCTCCGCCTCCATGCTGCTCCTCCACGCCCTCCACCAGAAACGGGTGGCAGCACACCTTCCTTAGCTGCATCATCGTGTTGGTCAGCGATACCTGTGGGGGGGAGATGAAGGGAAGGGGGTGGGGTGGGGAGCAGGCGGGTGAGTACTGGGCACAGCAGAAACGGGTGGAACTCTTCGCGCCCTTTACCAGGAACGGGTGGCAGCACAGCACAGCACGCCTTCCTCCTCCGCTGCATCATCGTGTTGGTCAGAGATACCTCTGGGGAACGATGCAGATGGTAGCCGATTTTTTAGAAGCCTCAAAAATGGCATCATCATGTAGGTCAAAAATACCTGTGGGGAACGATGCACGATGGCAGACGAGACGAGGTACGGAGGGTGAGAGAACAGGGTAATGGGGTGACTTTTGAGGCGCCTCAAAAATTGCGGGTAATGAGACGACTTTTGAGGCGCCTAAAAAATTGCGGGTAATGAGACGACTTTTGAGGCGCCTCAAAAATTGCGGGTAATGAGACGACTTTTGAGGCGCCTCAAAGGAACGATGCACGATGGCAGATGAGACGAGGAACGGAGGGTGAGAGAACAGGGTAATGGGGTGGGCAGAGAGCACCACCTGACGGCTCATATTCAAAGCTTACCTGCTGCCCCGACGCCTTGGTGAGCGCCTGGTAGTTGCGGGTGAGCACGGCACGGTACAGCGAGCGCTGCAGTGGCGCCAAGTCCACGCGCAGAATCTGCTCCTTCTTGGGCGGCATCTGCTTCAACACGTCCTTCTTCAGCCCTGGAGGGAAACATTTGGTGGAGGGTGGGAGGAAAAAGGAGGGAAAATGGAGTGCAACACAAGGTGGGTGGAGAGGGTGTATGTTGCACTACTCTGTCCCTTGGATGTAGGGAAAGGTTGGAGTGTTAGGTGTGCTTTTGAGAATTCTCAAAAGGTTGGAGTGTTAGGTGTGCTTTTGAGAATTCTCAAAAGCGATGTAGGGAAAGGTTGGAGTGTTAGGTGTGCTTACTTCTGAGGAGATGAGGCGCCAGCAGGTGGTGCAGCTTGGCCACCTGCTCCTCCTGCCCCAGCTGCTGGAACTCGCCCTGAAAACCCTCCAGACTCGCAAACTGCTGGGGGAGAGATGGTGCCGCACGGGCATCAGGGGGGCAACAGAGATGGGATTCAGGGGTTGCATTACTCGAGGTGCAGCTTCTCTGCTTACTCACTCCTCCTGCCCCAGCTGCTGAAACTCGCCCTGAAAGCCCTCCAGACTCGCAACTGCCAGGGGAGAGAGATGGTGCACAGGCACAGGGGGGGCAACAGCGAAGGGACGAGGGCAACGGGGGAATACGGAACGTCGAAAGAGATAACATGGGAGGACACACAACACGGGGGAGAGGTCCACATGGGGTACATGTGGGTCCACATGAGGGCGCAATGGGTATGTGACCCAAGGTTGCAGCTTTTCCAAGGATGCAAGAGAGTTAATTACCGTTGAACCTTTCTTGCTGTCATTGCCAGTGGAATCACCTTCCAAGGCAATGGCTTTACGCTTAAAATTTCATACCTAACTCACTCACCCTGCCTCTGCTTCGTTCTTTGGCAGCATCCAAAAAGCACATGCAGAGGAAAGGAAGCTTGGTGCAAAGTGAGGCACTGTGCTCATTCCTTGCCCACACCTTCCCATCACCTTGCCAACGCTCAGCCTCTCCCCTCCGCTCTCCTCACCTCAACTCACCTCACTTCACCTCAGATCACCTCTCCTCACCTCACCTCATCTCACCCCACCTCACCTCACCGCATTCAATCCCTCACCTTATCGGCATCCAGGAAGTGCATGAGGATGAAGAGCTCGTCCAGGTTGTTCTGCGTGCCGGGAGAAACAGAGGAAACGTGGGGTTGCAACAAGGTACAGGGAAAAGCAGGGGAGACGCAAGGTGAATGGATGAACACGGACGGGAAAGGATGGGAGAAGAATCAGGATGAATATGGGCAATATCGTGCACGATACAGGGAATAGCAATGGAGGCACAGTTTTGAGGCGCCTCAAAACTACAATATCGTGCACGATACAGGGAATAGCAATGGAGGCACAGGGTGGAGGGAGAGGAGAGGGCAAAAGGAGGGAGGGACGGGAAGTGCATTGAGGATAAAAAGCCCGTCCAGGCTGTTCCGCGGGGAGAAGCGGAAGCATGTGGACGCAAGATATAGGGAGGGGAAAGGGGAGGGTGCAGGAAGAGAATGAGGCGCTTCAAAAACTGAGAATGGGGATAGACTGGAAGATTTATAGTCGTTCCCCAAGGAGAAGCAGCGAGATGACTTCTGAGTCAACTCAAAGGCGAGGGAAGAGAATGGGGATGGATGGACTAGGTCACTAAGAGCTCTGAATTTGTTATCCGAGAAGAAGCGACGGGGAGACAGTGAGCAGGGCATTGCCCAACACCTTACCTGCAGCGGCGCCCCCGTGAGCAGCAGGCGGTGCAGGGAGGAGTAGCTCTGCAGAGTCCCGAACAGCTTGCTCTCCTTGTTCTTCAGCCGGTGCCCCTCGTCCACCACCACACCACGCACCCCCACCGCACCTACGCCACCCTCGCTTTGACCCCCCAGCCTTCTCTTAACCCCCACCCCAATGCCCTCGCCTGAAAATGAGCACGTTACCTCAAGAGGAGTGCCGGTGGGCAAAACTGGGGAGAGGGAACATGGGAAAGAGCATTGCACAACTCGTTACCTGCAGCGGTGTCCCCGTGAGCAGTAGGCGGTGCAGGGAATTGTAGCTCTGCAGCGTGCCGAACAGCTTGCTCTCCTTGTTCTTGAGGCGGTGCCCCTCGTCCACCACCAGGCACCCCCACCGCACCTGCCGCAGCTGCTGCGAGTCACTGTTCACCGCCTCGTATGACGTCAGCAGCACATCAAACCGCACGCGCTCCTGCCGGGACAGCGGCTGCTGCATTTGCGCGCGCCCACCAGGGGGAAAGCGTTTGCTGCCCCTCCTGCTGCTGCTGCTGCTCTTCCCCTTCCTTCTGCCTGCTGATGTGCTGTGGGGCTTGCCCTTCCCACGATGAGTGCCCTTCCCACTGCGCCTGACCTTTGCCCGCTTGCTCCGTGGCATTTCCTCCTCCTCCTCCTCTTCCTCCTCCTCTTCCTCCTCTTCATCCTCACTCCCCTGCTCCTCATTCCCCTCTTCACTTCCCTCCTCTTCACTTCCCTCCTTCTCGCTCTCCTCCTCCTCACTCCCCTCTTCTGACACCACCACATATTCCTCATCATCCTCATCTGAAGAATCTTCCGATGACGATGATGCGGACTCTCCCCGCCGCCGCTTCCGCCCCTTCTGCTGCTGCTGCTTCACTGCCCTTCCTCTCTTCTTCCCTCGAACATTCTTTCCCCTCTTTTCTCTAGAACTAACCCTCTCAAAACCCTTGACAGCCCTCCCTGTACTATCGCTTCTCATCACACCCCTGCTCCCAGCCTCCCAATCTTGCCTCCTCGTGACACGAGAAGAAGCCCTGGCCCCCATCTGTCTGTGTCTACCCTTGTCTGCCCGGCTTTCCTCCTCCTCCTCCTCTTCCTCCTCCTCCTCCTCTTCCTCTTCCCTCCCTTCCTCCTTTTCCTCCTCCTCCCCTTCCTCCTCGTCTCGTCCCTCCATATCCTCCAACACAACTTCCTCCACCTCATCATCACTCTCCCCGTTCGACTCTCCAGAGGACTCCTCCTCAGACTCTGAAGATACAATCATCCTCCCTCTCTTTTGCTTCCTCTTCGCCCGTTGCAGCCCTCCTTGCACCTCTCTGCCGACCTTCCCACCTTTCCCTTTGCCTCCACGCTTCTTGCTCTCTCCACCCTTCCCTTTCTCACTACCCTTCCCCTTCTTCCCGCCCTTCCCCTGCTTCCCTTGCGCTCGCTTGTCCTTGGTTGAAGGAGGAGGGGGAGGCGTGTAGGTGGAGGGGAAGAAGAACTCATGTTCTCGAATCAGTGCTCTTGCTGCCGCTGTGCCCACATACATCACCTGCATGCATGCATCCATGCACCCATGCACACATGCACCCATGCACACATGGACCCATGCACACATGCACACATGCACCCATGCACCCATGCACCCGGGCATGCACATATGCATCCAAGCACTCATGAAAGCATGCGAGGTGTGTGTATAAACGTGGAAAGCACGAGAGTGCGGAAGGGTGAAGTGAAGGTAGGGGGAGAAGGTATTGTGCCACGTAGCATGACGTATATGAGCCACATAGCATGACGTATATGAGCCACATAGCATGACGTATATGAGCCACATAGCATGACGTATATGAGCCACATAGCATGACGTATATGAGCCACATAGCATGACGTATATGAGCCACATAGCATGGCGTATATGAGCCACATAGCATGACGTATATGAGCCACATAGCATGACGTATATGAGCCACATAGCATGACGTATATGAGCCACATAGCATGACGTATATGAGCCACATAGCATGACGTATATGAGCCACATAGCATGACGTATATGAGCCACATAGCATGACGCATATGAGCCACATAGCATGACGTATATGAGCCACATAGCATGACGTATATGAGCCACATAGCATGACGTATATGAGCCACATAGCATGACGTATATGAGCCACATAGCATGACGTATATGAGCCACATAGCATGACGTATATGAGCCACATAGCATGACGTATATGAGCCACATAGCATGACGTATATGAGCCACATAGCATGACGTATATGAGCCACGTAGCATGACGTATATGAGCCACATAGCATGACGTATATGAGCCACATAGCATGACGTATATGAGCCACGTAGCATGACGTATATGAGCCACATAGCATGACGCATGCACACGAGGTGTATGTGAGCACAGCAAGAGAGACGGAACAGGAGGCATTGTTGGAGATTTAAAAAAAACGCCTGCAACAGCAAGGTGAGGGGGAGAAAGCGCTGTGAGACACAGCACACACACGAGGTGTGTGTGAACAAGCAGGAGATTGAGAGAGCAGCAGCAGGTTGGGGGTGAGCCAGAAAAGAAAGGGGTAGGGAAAAGAGGAGCGCCGGCGGGCGGGCGGGCGGGGGGGCGGGAGTGAGGGAGGGAGGGAGGGAGGGAGGGAGGGAGGGAGGGAGGGAGGGAGGGAGGGAGGGAGGGAGGGAGGGAGGGAGGGAGGGAGGGAGGGACGAGGAGCATGCACATGAGGGGACCACGTGGCAAATTCTTGCTGCTAAATTCTCAGGGCAAGAGAGCATGTGGCAGAGAAAGAGAGAAGCAGAGAGCAGTGGGGGGCTTAAAGACGAGAGCATGTGGCACTGACCACTCGCAGGTGAGGCTACGTTGCAAAGCGGCATGCGAGAGAGTGCAGAGGGGTACTGAGGGGTTCAGCGTGGCGGGGGCTTGAGAGAGCATGTGGCACTCACCACTCGCAAGTGAGGAGCCCACGTGGCAAATTCGCGCTGCCAGTTGCGCAGGGTTGAGAGCGGCACCACCACCATGTGGGGGAGAGGGGTGGCCCTCTCCTCGTGCAGCGATGCGAGGAAGGAGATCGCCTGCACTGTCTTGCCTGTGATGGGCGGGAGAGGGGCGGGCGGGAGACGACGGATGAGAGACGGGGGAAACGAAAAGGCAGCAGGTGGTTGAGGGGAAGCCAGGAAGGACTTCGCATGCACAACACATTGAAACGCCTGAGCCATCATAAATCCACCCTCAATCCACCCCCCATGACTCTCCCACCCCCCATGGCCCGCCCATCCCCCATGTGACTCACTCACCCAGCCCAATTCTCATCCGCCAGAATCACGTGCTGCTTCTGTGATTCTGCCCATGTGCTGCTTCTGTGATTCTGCCCATGTGCTGCTTCTGTGATTCTGCCCATGTGCTGCTTCTGTGATTCTGCCCATGTGCTGCTTCTGCTCCTGTGCAAGTTGGAATACCGGCCACACACCACGCAACTCTCCCACCCCCTCCTTCCCCCCCACTGCAACTCAACTCGCCCACTCCCCCCACTTCCCATTCCCCTCCCCCTGCCACTCACCCAGCCCCATCTCGTCCGCCAGAATGACGTGCTGCTTCTGCTGCCACGCGAATCGCAGCCAGTTGAGCCCCTCCAGCTGGTACGGGTGCAGCGTACCTGGACGGTTTCGATTTCAAAATGGGTGGAACATATGGAGGTTGAGAGCGTCATGTATATGGGTGCGGCGAACCTGGACAGCTTGGAGGCGAGAAAAAGGCATGGGGGTCGATAGTGGCATGTTTATGGGTGCAACAAACCAGGGCGGTTTAAAGGCGAGAGGAAGACATGGGAGGTCAAAGCAGGAGATGAGTTAGCTGCATGCAGGTGCAGCGAACCTGGACGGTGACAGTGAGTGGAAGAAACATGGGGTCAGTCAAAGCAGGAGAAGCGGAGCAGGGCAGGGGGGCAAACAGCAGAGGGCGCGAAACATGAGTGACTGAAAGGTTGTTTGTGAGAAGGGAGGGGAAGGATCACCAAGAACACAGGGTGGTGTTCACATGCAACATGGAGGGGAAGGATCACCCTACATGTGTCTATCAGCCATGTTACGATGCAGTAACACATGCAGGGGGGTAACGCACGCTTCACCTCGGCTACCATCCCATGTCGAGATGACGCTTCACCTTCAACTAACATGTGACGAAACCCACCTTTCAGAAAGCCGGGTGTTTCCTTCAACTCCATACACTTCTTCTACTTTTGAGGCGCCTCACAACTTTCCTTGAACTTCATACACTTCTTCTGCCATGAGACTAGGCGAGCTGCAGCTTAGGAAAATTCTTTAGCAGAAGAACGACAGTAGAGAAAACCAAGACCCACCTACTCTACTCTCTTCTCTCTTGTGACGGAACCCACCTTTCAGAAAGCCAGGTGTTTCCTTGAACTCCATCCGCTTCTTCTTCTGCACTCCCCTCTCTGCCTCCTTGCCCCCTCCTCCTCCTCCTCCCCCGCCCACCGGCCCCCATGCCACTGCCTTGGGTCCTCTCGCCATCAGCTCCTCATACTCCTTAACAGCCTCCTCGAAACCCTCTACAACTGCTGCACCACTCTCCTCCTCGCCTCCTTTTTCCATACCCTTTCTCCCATTCCCATTTCCTCCTGAACCTTTCTTCCCTTGATCACCCTCCTTCGCCCCATCTTTCGCCCCATCCGTCGCCCCATCCTTAGTCCCACTCTTCAGCCCCTCCTTAAGCTCTTCCTTAGTGCCACTGGCCGGCCCTCTTCCTTTGCTCCGCAAATCCTCCTCTGTCTCCCACGTGGCCTCCTCGTACCCCAACTCCCGCCACTTAACTAAGTACTCTTGCTGCCCCTTGCGGTTCTTCCTGCAGAAAACAGCAGCCAGGCGGGGAAGGAGCAGAGTAGAAGGCTGGCAGATGAAAACTTTCCAGACTGAAATACAACAAGGAATGGCGGAACGAATGAAACAAGTCACTGCGTATAATGAGTCGCTTGTTGAGAGTCAACTCAAAAAGTGGAAACTTTCAAAAGAGAAGTACAAGAAGGCAAGGCAGAAAGTGTGGAAAAATAGGTCACTATTGAGCCGGCGCAGGGTATTTCTTTAAGTTCTCACGGATTCCCTGCAACTCAAAGGTGAGTGATTCTCTGCGAATCACAGGGGAGCTCGAAACAAGGGTGACAACAGCGGAGCGCAGCAAAGCCATCCATTCAACACCCACTTGGCATTCACGATTCTCTCCACAACCAGCCAATCAGGACGATTTCTGAGGCACCTCAAAAAAAAGTTGACTACTGAGTCACCACGCCTCACTCACTTGGCATTCACGAGTCGCTCCACAACCAGCCAATCAGGTCGCAGCACTGGCACCGCCCCACTCCCCTCCACGTCCTCCTCCCCATCCCCGTACAGCGCGCTCTGTGCTGCTGCCGCCTCTGCCCTCTACCACTCATCACTCACTTGGCGTTCATAAGTCACCACGCATGCAATCATCACTCACTTGGTGTTGACGATTCGCTCCACAACCAGCCAGTCAGGTCGCAGCACTGGCACCACACCACTCTCCTCCACGTCCTCCTCCCCATCCCCATACAGCGCGCTCTGTGCTGCCGCCTCTGCCCGCTGCCGCAGGTAGTTCCTCATCCGGGCTTTAAGCCCCGGCAAGCTCTTTGCCGCTGCCTCCACTGTTGCAGCTGCCACCCTGAGGGGATTGAGGGGGTGGGTTAAGGTGGACCGTGGAAGAATGGAGAGATCTGATGGAGAGGTCTGGTCGATTCACAAAGAGGCAGGGAAAGAGGCGTCCATACAGTGATGAGCAGTGGAGTGTGAGCAGGAACAGGGGGGTGTAAAGGAGAGAGAAGGGGAACTAAGAAATCTGGGTGAGGGTCAAGGAGTGCATGTGAGGGAGAGAAAAAGAGGAACAAGAGCGTACGGGGGGGGGGGGGGGGGGGGGGGTAGAGAAGGGGAACAGGAGCGTACGAGGAGCAGTAAAGAAAAGACTTGTTCCAACATTTGAACACTGCAATGATTGCAAACCAAGAGCATACCAGGTGCAGTGGATATGCGATTTATCTTTCCACTTTATCAAATACTCCTCCACTCGCCTCCTCTCACCCCGCCCTCCACTATCCCTGCCATCACCGCCCCTACCGCCATCACTCCTCTTGCTGTCACTGCGCCCCTCTCCTGTCCCCTCACTCCCCTCCCCAGCACCTCCCCCACCCTCGCCTCCCTGCGCCACCTCTCTCACGCCCAGGAATCGCTCCACTGCCGCCCAGTCATGGCCCTGCATGTATGCATGCACAGAGAGAGAGTGGGGTGAGGGAGAGAGGGGCATGGCATGCGCGTCACATTGGGGGCAGCACCACGCTCCAGACGCAGACGTATAGCCATGCCTAAATCCCTGGGACACATGGCATGGCATGGCTTGGCATGGCATGGCTTGGCATGGCAAGGCTTGGCTTGGCATGGCATGGTACGGCATGTGGGAGAGCGGCGGGTGCAGGCAGTGCAGATGATACACAGCAGGGCAGGGCACGCATCAGTCACACACGCACTCCAAAGTGAACACATATATGGTATGGCATGACATGTGACTCACGCATTTGGGACAGAACCAAGCTCCTTCGGGCACGCAGGAGAGCGGCGGGTGCAGGCAGTGCAGATGGTACACAGCCGGGCACGCATCACACATCAGCAACTCGCCATGGCCCCCGCACACCTCGCACACATCATCGTCCTCCGCAGCCACCTCAGCTTCCTCCCCTGACACGTCAGCATCCCCTTCAGCCTCCTCCTCTAACACGTCAGTGTCCATTTCAGCTGCTTTTTGTGGTGCATCGGCATCCACTTTAGCTTCTTCCCCTGACACCTCAGCACCCATTTTGGCTGCCTCCTCTGACACGTCAGCATCCACCTTAGCTGCCTCCTCATCCTTCCCCTGCTCCCCTCCGACTTCCACCCCCTCCATCTCCCTCTCGCTCCCCCTCCCCGCATTCCCCTCACCCTTTCCCGCACCTCCACTCCCCCCCATCTCTCCACCCTTCCCCGCAGCCGTAGTTGCGTCATCCGGCTTTCCCGCCCGCGCTGCTCTCGGAGACGCGGAGGGTTCTGCTTTCACCGTCTCTGACCGCCTCTCCTTCCCCTTACCAGCAACCCTTTTCTCGCTTGTTTTAACATCTTCTTTCCCTTTTTTGACGTCCGATTTCGCGGTTTTAGTTCTTTTTCCGCCTTTTCCGCTACCCCCTCCCGCCTCCCCGCGCTCCTGCTCCCGCAGCCAGGCTTCAAACGCCGCGTCGTCGTCGTCGTCAGTGTAGACGGGTAACCGTGAGCTGCGATGCGACCGGTTGGAGAACCGGCGGGATTGCAAGTCCCGCGACATCACCTAACGACCGCCTTAGGGATTCCCGGATCGCACGCAATCAGGTCTGGTAATTTCGCAGCCTGAAAATCCGCCGCAATCGCCGCTTAGGGATTAAGTGCATGCGTAACACGCGATGAATTTGTACGAGACCGGAGGAGATTAAGGACTACCTGAGGCTGATGGCCTTAGCAGGTAATGTGCTATGTGATGCCATAGGTCCAGATCTGAAATGTCGTTTCATGTTCCGCATCAGCCTTATGGTATGGTGGTGTGCGAAAACTAGAAACCGCCTTTCGCCAACGGTCGCTAACGGGTGGTAACCCTATCGTATATCCCATGTGGGAACCTTGAGAATTGTCCTCTGAGGTGGCTCGTAAGTGAGGGTGGGGCAGGGGACCCATGTCATCCATGACATGGCATGAGGTGACATGAAACGGCCTGGCCTGGCGGAACACGAACTGCACGGTGAGATGTAACGACATAGCTGGAATGTTGGAAACTCAAGGCGTTTCAACATGCCTCAACAGCTTGCGTACGGGCCTGGAGCCTATCACTGGGCAGATGTGACCTGATGGACCGTTCTCAGCAAAGAACACACTTGGGCAGATGAAACTATGTTGGGCAAATCTCTTTTGGAACTTGAGACTGCCCGTGAACAAAAACACAGTAAGATAGAACCCTGAACCAATACAGTAACAATAAAACCCTAAACCCTTCATACTGCCCATCCAACAATTGGGGTTCTGAAATCAGTTCTTGGTATCGTTACACTTGTCCCAGAGCCCTATGTAACCCGTTCTCATTTTTTATGAGATC